CTCTCTCTCTCAAAAATAAACATTAAAAAAAGTTAAAAAAAAAATTATACGAGATTCAAATCTTTAGTGTCCATAGAGCTGCACTGAAATACAGTCGCAGTAGAAAACACTCAGTTAAAATACTAAAAACACCAATATGCTCACGTATCATCTATGACTGCTTTCACGCTACCACGGCAGCGTGAGTAGTTGTGACAAAGATTGAATGGCCCTTTTCAACCTCTGGTCTAGAGCAAGCAGCCTGGGTGCCCTTTCCATTCCTGTCCCCAGCACTGGAGTGAGGGAGCAGGAGCCTCTAGCAGAGGCTCAATGGTTTTTGTCCCCTTAGGGCCGCGGAGTGGCAGCTGGACCAGCCATCATGGAGTGGCCGGCTGCGGATCACTGCAAAAGGGCAGGTGGCCTACATCAAGCTGGAGGACAGGACCTCAGGTAAAGGCAAGGGAGGCCCTCCTGGGGCTGAGATGCCGCACCTCCTACTCTGTCAAGGGAGAGGCAGCCCGGCCCAGGCCGGTCCACTCACGGGTCATGGGAACCGATCTGGAAATCGAAGGACCGACTGTGCCTTTAAACTGTCTCCATCCCCCCTGCCCCAGCCTTTAATTGCAGAAACCACTGTCTCCAGGTGTAAAAGGGAGTACCTGTCAAGCACCTGTTTTTCCTTAAGAAAATACTAATTTGGGAGTCCGAGGAGAGGAGAACTGCAGGTTGGTCCCAAGGAGGAAGCCCCAGAGTTTGCCTTGAAGACGAGCTGGGGGAAGACACACAGCCCTTGGCGGCTGAGCTCTCTGCTGCTTACTCAGGAATTCTGTTTATCGACTAAATGGTAGCTCCCCAGACTGACCACGCCTATTAACCGAAAGAGCTGGAAAGTGTCCTGCTCAGCTCTTTTCTGGTGAAACGACGAGCCAAGCTGGGCTGTGTCGGGGTCAGCTGGCAGATGTTACCTTAGGGGAAATCTGGAAGTCCTGTGCCCCTAGTGTCTCTGGGTGAGCTGTGGGGGGCATTGTGGCCTGAAATAGTCCCAGCCCCCAGGGCAGGGATCGGGCACAGCGCCTGCTTGGTCGGGTGCCAGAACATTCGGTCATTTATTTTTCTAACATATAGAGATTGTTCTTTGTGGAGCAGGACAAAGTGTAAAGAGTCATAGGCAAATGGGCTGCCTCTTTCAGAACTGTGTCACTTGTGTCTGAGCTCTGAGACCTTGCGCGAGCCATGTGGCCTCTAGTGCCTCGGCCTCCTTTTTGAAATGGGGGTCACCTTAGCTTCTGTTTTCACAAGGCTGTTGGAAATGTGAAGTGAGCACATACTTAGCCAATTGCTTTGTGAATTGCAAGGTGATCCAAAGCGTCGATTTGTTCTGGAACGTGGAGTTGACGGGTATTGGCTGCAGAGGAGGTTGAGAAGACAGCTGCCATAACTAGGCCAGAGAACTCTGGCTGTGTAGCGTGCTGGGGTGTCCC